ATATTTAACTTGAGTAAAATTAGAATTACATTGTTTTGTGTTGTAAATTGCTTTTTTTCTTAGCAGTGTACTATAAGTATTTTTTCATGTTATTTTGAGTGCATAATTTTTAAAAGTATTTCTTAGTTTTTTGAAAATCCATTTGCATTTTGTTGGAAATTTAAATTGATTCTGATTTTTTTTGCTCTTAAAAAAACTGTAATAATGATTGATGTCTTTGTTTATCATTACTTACGTGATTGTCTACTCATTTCTTTAGGATAATTTATTTCCTTAGGACAAATTCCTAGAACTAGAATTACTCAGTTATAGAGTATAACCAATTTTTCCTGAAATAATTTTAAAATAACTGATATTTGAAAATTCTGTTTAAAAAAAGAAAAAGAAGAAAAAACAAGAGAAAGAGAGAAAAATAAAATTCTGTTCAGTTACAACTTTTTAGAAAGCACCTAAAGAAAGACAAATAAGTATTCTTTATGTGACTACCTGTATTGTTTATACATTAACCCAATTTCTTGAATGCAATTTAGCAAATATTTATTTACTATATGACATATGCCAATCACCTGAGGCTAGGTACTGGCAATACAGCAAAGGATGAGATAAACATAGTTCCTGTACTCATAAAGCTTTCATTCTAATTGAAACTACAGAGAATACAATAAATTATTAAAATGCAGCATATTAATTGCAATGATAGAAAAAGTTCATGGTACTTGTGGGAGCACATAGGAAAGGTATCTAACCCAGATATTGGGTAATACTGGTAAGTAATGTTTTTCCAGAGGAAGTAATCTTTTGAAACATCAATTACGATTCTTGCAGTTTAACAGAAGAAAGAAATTTACTCAAAGATATGTACAAAGATAATCATCAAGTGTTTATTACAGTGGAGAACTGGAAACATGAATTTTTAATAACAGAAGGTTGATTAAATGACTCACAGTATAGCCATGTATTGTAATTGATAGCCACTAAAATTGTATGTGCAGTATTCCCCATAGGACTTTTAGATTCCTTAGCTTATTACTGTTAATTGGAGATCGCAAACATGCATGCTTGTATAACTGTAGTGTTACTCTATGGTCCATTCATAAAATGGTTGATTCCAGTCATTCTGAAAGATCCATGATGGCTCCTGTGTTTCTCTCCCATCGGTTAAGTGATAGCTAAAATTCAGCAGTCATAGCTTTATACCCTAGTTTAAAGATTTGTTGCCAATTGAAATATAAATACACTTATAAAGGAGTAATACTTGGAGATTATCACTTGAAGGCACAATGGGAGGCTTCTATGGTCACATTGTTACTTGAAGGGGTCAATGACCTACTACTGTTTTCTTCTGAACATCAGTCCTACCTTTATAAGTGCTTAGAAAGACAAACATGGTTCAACCTAATATGAAATTATACATATTCAGCTATTTGACTCATAGAAATAGAAAGTTCGTATGGTACAACTTTGTTTCTTATAAAGTAAGGGGATACATTGTGTTCTGCTACAATCAGTGAATTAAAATGTTTTTATAATGAGGTCTTGTATAATTTTCGTTACACATTATATATAGATAATTCTTATTTTCAGGGTCTACTACACAATTGGTAAATTTTCGGCACTTTTTGCCATGTTGCAAAATCCTATTTTAAGAACTTACTTCTCTATGATTTCGAACACTTAGATCAGAGGAAATCACCTAGGTTTCTAGTGGGATGGAATATCTCTCATTTTGAGATATCTCATTTAAAATCTGATAGATTTTATTTTTCTCTTCATACACAAATTATTGATGTCTGCTATTTGTATGTAAAATGATAAATTTAAGTTAATCTTTTATTACTATCTGAATGTACATGAAACAATTAAAAACAATTTTATTTCTGCTTATAGGTCTCAATTTATTAATGATGCATACCAGGAAGTACTGGATCTACTATTGCCACTAAATCTAGAAGTGGTTGTTGAGCGAAATTTATCCTGGGAATGGTACCAGGAAGTTCCTTGTTTTAATGTAAATGCTCAGCTAAAACCCATGGAGGTAACTTTTTGGATGCTTATTGATTTCCGTATTGTTTGTTGAAAATTATTGCTTGGGGACATAAAGCATTTTATTTTGGGGGTTTTTTTTTTTTTTTTTTTTTTTCATGGCTGGCTGGTACCAGGATCTGAACCCTTGACCTTGGTTTTATTAGCATCATGCTCTACCAGGTGAGCTAAACTGCCAGCCATTGGGTATAAATTATATAGGTATAATCACCTTAGTCAGAAACAGTGGCTGTGTTAACCTAGTGTCCATTTAGTGATCTGTGACTACCATGTGCTAAGCCCTGTTCTAGATATTGAAGATACTGAGGCAGAGAAGCTGTGACATTGTCTCTGGCTTTATGGAACTTACCAGTCTAATGCAGGGGTTGTTGGTGATGGTGGTCTAGAGGGTGCAGTAGTTATATGATAAAAAAGTAAACAGATATACAATTAAAGTAATTATAAATTGTGGTAAATTCCATGAAGGAAACAAGTGCTAGACATGGTGCTGTAAGTAGTCACTTTGGTTTATTAATATAGAATTTAGTGGAGAGGTCTAGGCTAGAAGTATTAATTTGAAAGTCATCACCGTGTAGATGGTATTTAAACCCATGGGAATATATGAGATCATCTAGAAAAAGAGTTTATAAAGGAAGAAAAAGTCCTAGAAGAATGCAGAGGTTGAAGATGAAAATGGCAAACAGTTCAGCACCTTAGGTCTCTTTACCTCCCTGTAGGTTGACATTGCCTCACAGATTCTGATGGAACTATACACAAGTTCATATTTTTCCCTCTTGACTGGATGGAAGTCAAAACTATATCACATGCTTTGCTGAAATGACAGCAACATATACTCTGTCTAGGAGGTTTCTTTAAGAAACCTACTTAATAAATCCTCTTCCCTCTCCCCACCTCTAGTTCCCCTTTCTATTTCTCTCTATAAAAGTTATATTCAAAAAGAGAAAACCATCATTTTAGAGATTTCACACTTTTAAGTCAAAAGTATATTCAGAGTTTAAAACATGATGGTGTTCAACTTAAAATCTTTGAGTTCTTGGTGTGTAAGATAATATGGAAACTTTAACATACAGGTTTAGAAATGGAAAGTATCTTCTTAAGATAAATAGTTGAAGTCTCTTTATATTGGTAAGACAATAGATAGAAACTGAAAACATGAGTAGCATGTTCCATCCAGAATGCTGGGGAAATCCCCAGCCCACTAGGACCAATAATCAGGCATATTTGTGTAGGGCAACAGGGACACTGCTTTTCCTCACTCTTCCTCAGGGAGAATCCATGGTGAATGTTCAGATGATGCTGTAGACCATCTGCAAATGCCTGGCTGCCTTCTGGGGCAGACCCACTAGGATGAAGTTGGGTCTCTCCATACCCTAATCCTCCTAAGTAGTTAGCAGCTATTGCAGCTGCTAACCAAGCTGCACCCAAGAGCTCCTATATTTGTTCCATCCTAGACCATCCTGTGTCAGGGAGAGACTAGAATTGGGTCTTGGAGAAGTTAGTGCAAGAGCTTGTGATTTTTGACTTATTAGATGTTTGGGTGTTGTACACATATAAGAGCCATAGATCAGTAGCCCCAGGATCCTTATTGTCCTTCCAACTTCCTCCCCTAAGCTTCTGGCAAGAGTGAAGGAAGAATGATGACTAATATCAGTGTTTGGGGGCATTCAATATACATGTACTAATTGAAAGGTGTGGTTTCGAAGTTGTAATACTTAATTTCAGATTTTTAATTTATATGAACATACTATTTTTGCAATTCCTGCTGCATAATAATAACAAAGTAAGTGTTATGAATAAATGAATGAAGGAATGGAAGTTAAAAAAAAACCCTAAAGCATAAGTAGCATGAATAAGGTACACATAAATTTAATCTTAAAATACTAGATTAGCATATAGTCTTTGAAATATAGTCAAAGGAAAGGTTTGACAAATTTACGAGTGAGCCACAAGTAACTTAAGAAAATTGTTTTGATTAAACATATCAATTTAAAACTCAGATCAGTCAAGGGTTCAGATCCCTGCATTGGCAAGCTGCCAAAAGCAAAACAAAACTAAACAAAAAACTCATAGATCTTTTGATTAAACATATCAATTTAAAACTCAGATCAGTCAAGGGTTCAGATCCCTGCATTGGCCAGCTGCCAAAAGCAAAACAAAACTAAACAAAAAACTCATAGATCTTTTTTTTCGTTATTACTGTTGTATTAGTCAGGGTTCTCCAGAGAAGCAGAACCAATAGGGAAGGAGGGTGTGTGTGGAGAGAGAGGGAAAGAGAGAGAGGGAGATTTATTTTAAGGAATTGATACACATGATTGTGGAGGCTAGCAAGTTCAAAATCTACAGGGTAGGCCAGCAGGATGGATACCCAGGGAAAAGTAGGTGTTGCAGCTCGAGTCTGAAGGCAGTCTGCTGGCAGAATTCTTCTTGCTTGGAGGAGGTCAGTTTTCTTTCTGTTGAAAGCCTTCAACTGATTGGCTGAGGTCCACCCAGGAGAGTAATCTGATTTACTCAGTCTACTGATTTAAATGTTAATCTCATCAAAAAAATACCTTCACAGAAACATCTAGAATAATGTTTAAGCAAATATCCAGATATTGTGACTGAGCCAAGATGATGAATAAAATTAACTATCACAGCTGTTAAGACAGGTCTTAATGCTGTTGATTTTAGGCTAAATTTGCAACACATTGGGTTTGAAGTTAGCTCTTTTTTTTTTAAGTTCTTTGTTTAAATATGTGTGGACTTAAGCATGTTACTTAATCTTTTAGCCTCAGGTTCTTATAAAATCAGGATTATGTTCTATACACCTAGGACTTTTGTGAAGTTCAAATAAAGTTAATCATGTAAGATATATTGTGAACTATTTTTTATTATACAAATGAATAATATAAATCTTATTTTCAAATATTCCGTATTAGTGAAATAAGTGCTTACTAACCAGAAAAAAATCCAAAGTGGCTGGATGACTATTTAAAGATGAAAGTTTATTTTAAAGGTTTAAAATTACTAGATTATTTGGTACATTTATAACAGATAGTTCACCTGTAGTTTCATTGGTGTTGGCATCACATGGTCATTTAGAAAACTGAATTTTGGGCCGGCCCGGTGGCTCACTCGGGAGAATGCGGTGCTGATAACACCAAGGCCCCGGGTTCGGATCCCATACAGGGATGGCCGGTTCGCTCACTGGCTGGGCGTGGTGCTGACAACACCAAGTCAAGGGTTAAGATCCCCTTACCGGTCATCTTTAAAAAAAAAAAAAAAAAAATAGAAAACTGAATTTTCAGTTAGTAAAAATCCTTAATGCATTAAAAAATTGGTTTTGTAGAGAACTGAAAGGAAACAGTCTTATTTTTCTTGTATGAGAATTTTAATTACGTGAAGTAGCAATGTTAAGAAAAGCAAATCTTATTTTTTAACAGTTTATTCTTAGTCAAGAAGACATAACAACTATTTTTAAAACATTGTATGGCAATATATGTTATGAAGAAGGTGATAGTGCCTCATCTGCTGTAATAAAAGACCAATCTAGTGTCACTAGTGGAGTTAATAATGCTTCACACAATTCAGGAGGTATGTTCCTAACCTTAAATTAGTTGTTGCCTTTCTCTCTTTCTTTTCTTTGTCTTTCCCCTCTCTCTTTTCTTTCTATCCTCTCTCTCTCTTTCTGTTTTCCCTTCTCTTCCTTTCTTCTTTCTGTCTTTCCTTTCTTTCTCTAGTTTTGAGTAAAATAAGATTTATAAATTTCTTTCTAACCAGCTAATCCCATTCAGGCATCTCCAAATTGTCTATGTTATTTGTCATTCTGGTGATTTTTTCTTTGGGTCAAAGTTCCTAGTCCTGTTGTAACAAAACTCCTTAATATTTAATTCCTGTTTTCCCAGTTTCCCTATAGGACTTTATTTTCAATTTTTCCCTCCTTCCCCTCTCTTCATCCTTATCCGTAGTACAATATATGTCCTAGATGGAAAATTTTATATTATTATTAGCAATGTCAAAACATTAGAGGTATAAAAAGAGGATAATCATTAGTAGATGATGGATAGAACACAGTAGAAGAAACCATAATTCAGAAAGAGGGTTCATCCAGCGTTGGATCCAGTGTGTGATGTTGGAACACTGCTGGGTTCTGAGTGCAGCACCAGCACATACAGAGAGTTGGGGCTGCCAAGTTGATTTTGCTGCGAAAGAATAAAATTCTTCTCATTCTGGTATTTTAGGGGATCCCAAAACCTACCTACTTCAGAGTGAAGCCCAGTAGTCTATAAGACCTTCCTTTGCAAAGCCTTGAGATATCACATCACTTTTCCACTCAGGGAGAATCCTAAACACAAAAACAACGCTACATTTACAGCACTACAGGAAACCACATCTTTATTAGCTAGAATCATCAACCCTGTGATTTTTTTTTTTGTTAAATATGAATAGTCAACTATGAAGAAAATCACAAAAACCCAAGCATGAAAGAAACCAAGATAAGCAGCATAGTATTTTCTGAAAGAAGCAAAGAATTGAGGGAACAGGAAAAAACAAAACAAAACCAAAAACTGTGATATTCTAAAAGGATTTTGAGAAGATAATATAATAACTGGATCTTACCAGGACCACCAGCCCCCCAAAGATAGGAAAGAGTTCATAGAAACCAGAAATGATTGCTGGAATCCTTCAAGACACTAAGTATGGGGTTAGAATGTAAATGTTGTGTTGGAATATGTGGTTGAGGTAATCGCCCATGACATAGTGGGAAGAAAAGCACAGGAATGGAAAATGAGATAAAACATAAGACAGATGGCTTTAGTTAAGAAGGTCCAATTCCAGAATAAGTATTGTAGGAGAAATAACTGATACAATGGAAGAGAAAAATCTTTCAGAGTATAGCAGTCTTCCACTTCCCCTTTATCCTCAGGGGATATCTTCCAAAACCCCAGTGGATGCCTGAAACCATCGATAGTACCAAACCCTTCATGTGTGTTATGTTTTCTCCTATACATACATATCTATGATAAAGTTTAATTCATAAATTAGTCATAGTAAGAGATTAACAACAACAAATAAAATAGAACAATTATAACAATATACTGTAATAAAAATTGTGTGAATGTGCTCTTGGTGTGTCTTTTTCTCAAAATTTCTTAATATTTTGGACTGCAGTTGACCACAGGTTACTGAAACTGTGGAAAGTGAAACCACAGATAAGGGGGGACTACTGTAATAGAATTAAACTCTCCAGATCTAAGTAAATATTGAAGCAAACTCTTAGATATAGTCTACTGACTTTTCAAGCAGATTGAGTAAACTGCAACTCTCCATGCAAACACATTTTCATGAAATGTCAGAATGACAAAGGAAAGATTTTAAAAGTTTCAGAAAAAAGAAACAGCCTGCTTGTTAGGAGCTTGGGAAAAATGACTGGATATTTATTTTGGGGGTTAAACTGCAACTCTCCATGCAAACACATTTTCATGAAATGTCAGAATGACAAAGGAAAGATTCTAAAAGTTTCAGAAAAAAGAAACAGCCTGCTTGTTAGGAGCTTGGGAAAAATGACTGGATAATTTATTTTGGGGGTGGTTTGTCATCAGTAAAACTGGATGGGATTGCTGGATGATAAAGGCAACGAAGCAATATATTTACAATTCTAAGCAAAGTGATTTTGAAGCTAGGATTCTGTACACAGCCAAACCATCATTCAAAATGTGAAAACAAAATAATTCTCAGATTTTCAGTGCCTCAGAGTTTACTTAAACTACCTCATACCCATCATTCCTAAAGAATATAGTTTGAAAATATGTTCCAGCAAGTCAAACAAAGAATCTAGGCAAGAGGAAAATATGAGACCAAAAAACGGTGGGCCCACCCAGGAGTGCATTCAAGAGGAATCCCAAAATTATCTATTTGTTTAGGTTATCAAGTAATTGGTTTTCAGTAAAAAGGAATTCAGAATGCTTTAAGGAAAAAGAAAGCCAAGTGGAAGAATGTCTTAAAGAAGAAAAATAGCATAAATTCCACATAATATGTAGAATGAGGAATTAACCACATTATATAAGTGATATGGAGAGACAGATGTGTTCTGTTCCTAAGAAACTCTACTATATACCATGCTGCAGAGGTGAACTAAATTTTGCATGATTTTGAGCCATTATTAGAATGTGAGAAGAGAGAATTTCTTCATTTCTGAGAAGTACACTAGGTGCGATCATTGTAGCAGCAGAGCCAATATTATAACAAACATTAAGTCTCTTTATTGAAAAATATTACGCAGTCATAGTTAAACAACATATTTTGGTTAAAATATGTTAACCAAAAAACATGTTTTGGTTGCATGGATGTATACATGTATTAAATCTCATCAACTTGTTCAGATAAAATCTGTATGTAAATTTTATCTAAATTAAAAATAACTTACAAAAAAAAGATAACTTTGTGTTGGTGGTGCTTATGTCTGGAGTTGGGTAGAATGAGAATTAGGAATTGCTGTGTTTTCATTATAAGCACATTTAATATATACCATGTGTATATAATACTTTGATTCAAAATTTAAATGTAGAAAACAAATTTTGGATTTTTCTGGTTAGTGGAACAGTTTTTTAAATGACATTGAAAATATCTTGTTTGGTTTTAGATTTTTAATGTAAAATTTGAAATACTAAACTGTGTGTCAGGTACTTTAGTATGCCTTTACACATGCTGTTTTACTTAAGCCCCTAAACAAACCCAGCGGCCAGTTCAGGTTTTCCCATTATAAAAGTGGAAATGAAAGCATCAGGTGTTAAATTAACATTTTCAAATTAGTATGGAAAGAGTCTTAAGCTAGGAGTTACTGAGTTCTGCATCTGAATTTTCTAATCTTTTATTTTCTTGAACATCATTTTACTATACCCATTTAATTAATAATTCTGTTAAATATATTTCAAGGTTGTCTTAATGAGCTACTTTTCATTTTTTTTTATTCAATAACTTTAATTTTTCCAAGGAGCAACTGTGGTGACAGCTGCTGTGGTAGAAGTACATTCACATGCCTCTCAAGTTAAGACAACAGTAAATACGAGTTTCAGAACTGACTACCTCACCATGGTACTATATAGTCCAGGTCCTGAACAAGTAAGTTGAGGAAGAAGAAAGGAAGTACATTTTTATTTACAAAAAATTATAGAGGTGAATGTTTATTAGATAACAATTGTTAATATTTCACATGTATTTTGTTGTGTGTGTTCCTTGGCAAAAAATGGTTGATCTTTTCATTTTAGTGATAATTTAAACTATTTCCCTTTTCAAATGAATTATTTTTCATATAGCTAATGATTTAAAAAATAAATTTTAAAATTAAAGTAAATATATATTTTTGGCCTTTCATTAGAGAGCCCTTTGGAGAGAGAGAATTTTGATGTTTCATATAAGTAGACACAGTAGTTTATACTAGTTTATATTTTAAAAATGCACTTTAGGCTTAGATTTTTATGTAATTTTTTTATTGATTTCCTCTTCCACAGGCTTCCTTTACAGATGTTCGTGATCCTTCTCTGAAACTTGCTGAATTTAAATTGGAGAATATTATAAGTACTTTAAAAATGTATACAGATGACTCAGTATTTTCTTCCTTCTCATTAAAAAACTGTATTTTAGATGATAAAAGGCCTCATGTCAAGAAAGCATCTCCTCGGTATGTATTGTAATAGTGTTCTTAGTTTTTACCTGAGAAATGGCTGATATATTTTGCAGAACTTTCCCCAAAAAGCTACATGTTCATTTTCTATTTGCATCCTAGAATCTTCAAAGCTTCTTTTCAATCAGGTCATGGATTTCAATTAACATCTAAAATGACCTAGTACAGTTACTTGCTATTCTTATTTGATAGTTGATAGATGGGTTGAATAAATAGAAATAATCAGTACAGTTAAATTATCTATATTCTCTAATGTAAAGTATTATTAACCCACACTGATTGCAATGGAAAATGCATTTATTCTTATTTGATAGTTGATAGATGGGTTGAATAAATAGAAATAATCAGTACAGTTAAATTGTTTTTTTAATTATCTATATTCTCTAATGTAAAGTATTATTAACCCACACTGATTGCAATGGAAAATGCATGAAAAATCAAGAAGAAAAAATATGCCGAGATTCAAAACTCTGATAATTTCTTAAACAGTCAGTTCCTAATTTATGAAACAGTTGTACTCCAGAAATTTGTAAATTCATTATTTGGAGCACCTTGTGGATCTTCCCTAGAGACATGACTTCAGAATACTTGTTTGCTCTTAGTGAAAGAGACGAGATCTTTCCAGTTTTATTGATGTGTTTGGTTATTTGTAAGTTACGCAAACATAGTGGTTATTATTGTGTTTTTCAGAATGATAGGATTGACAGTGGGGTTTGACAAAAAGAACATGATGGATGTAAAGTATAAGAGAGTCAGAGATGGTTGTGTGACTGATGCAGTCTTTCAAGAAATGTATATTTGTGCAAGTGTGGAATTTCTGCTGACCGTTGCAAATGTCTTTTTTGAGGCCTACACCATAGGCAGTGCTGTAGAAACAAATGTTCAAACATGGACTTCTAAGGAAGAAGGTTAGTTACTTGGTAAAATATTTAATATTTATATTATCGAAGTGCTCTGACAACATTTACCTTGATTAGCCTTTTAGATGATCAGGGTAAATGCATTTATAAATTAAAATATTTATTTTTCAGAGGTAGGAGGAAAACCTTAATGAATTTTCTGGGAGGATTTGCAGTTTGCATTTATTTTAAAGGCATGAATATATACTGGGTTCAAAAAGTATGAGACCTACATTGGAATAAGTAATTGTATTTCTCTGCAGTAATTCAGAAGAATTTATCATAGAAGGAAATAAGCAGGAAGAAGAGTGAACCATCCACTCCTTTAAAATAATTAAAGATAGTATTTTAATTTAAAGCACTCATTTATTTGTTATGTTTATTTCTCTATTATCTTTTGACATATTTCATTCATTGTGTTATAGTAGAAAGGATGTCAAGTTGAAATTTGGAAACTGGATTAATTTCTAGCTTTGACATTAAGTAGTAGAGATTTTGTCCTATATTTGTTAATGTTCTTATGTCTATAGCTTCTTCAAATCTTTATTAAGGGAGTTGCAGTAGATTCCTTTAGAATCTAAGATTGTTTTAATTTACTATTTACTTAGAATGAAATAACATTTTCTCATAAGAGATAAATAATATATAGTAAATATGTATAAACATTTCCCCCCCCCCAGCTCTGGCCACCCCCACTCTCATCCCACCAGTTCAGGAAGTGAAGGAGGAGTTCTGCACTGTCTTGGGCTTCCAGGAGTGAGAACGGATGTGCCTGATCTGGTGCCTGCTGCCACCCATGTGCCGTTCAGAGAAGCCCAGCTGGCATTACCATGCTGAAATACAAGCTTTTGGACATCAGTTATAGGAAACCTTTTTCTTAGATCCCCTCAAAACTGCATTCGTTAATAGCTGCTATATTAAAAGTGAGGCGGACATACACCAAAAATTTGGAATATAGAAAGAAGCTGTTTTTCTGAGTCTTAAAGATAATCAAGAACTGTCTGAAGAAGGGACATGTTTTTCACAAACTTGTTTCACACAATTTCTTGAAGATGAGTTCCCAGACTTTCCCACTGAAGGCAATCTTGACTTTTCATTGGGGAGGAAGTCTTGTGTCACGTGGCTAGAAACTTGGCTGTGGAGCAGTTGACACTTAGTGCAGAATTTCCAGTCCCACCAACTGTGTCAAAGCAGACTTTCTTTGCAGTAATTGGAGCCTTGCTGCAGACCTGAGATGACTGTACTTTTCATCAGGAACTTCTTAATTACTCATACGACTGGAAAAGAGCTCTTTGAGATATGAAAGGTAATAAATACCATGAGGCTTCTGGTAGAAGAACTGAAGAAAAGGAATGTTTCAACTCCTGAATCTGTACTTATCGGGAAGTCTGGAAGCACTACACCTTTACCTTTGTATTTTGTTGGCTTATACAGTGATAAAAAGTTGACTGCAGAGGGAGCTAGGGAAACAGTATGGGTTGCAGAGAAAGAAGCTGCTGTTTTCGCAGTTTAACTTCCTATTGAGTTGGTTGCTCAGAGATTGCTATAGCAGTTGAGAAATAACAGGCTTTTACATGCCAGATATTGGTTTCTTTGGCAATTCTGAATCTGAATCCTTTAAACGTTTACTTTGCTTGTAGGTAGTTCCAAGTGTGAGTAGCTACAACCAAATCTATTATTTATTCGTAGTATTTTTGCTGGTAAACTGAGGTCTTATTTCTAATCTCTGTATTCTGCCTATTCTCCCTTCACCCAACTTAGTGGAGGCTACTTTAATAATAGTTTTGTGGGGAGAAAGATAGGCAACATCTGTAATCTAATTTTTTTTGCCACGTACTGGCTTTAACAAGAATTGCCAGAGAAAGAAAAGGAGCCACAATCTAATCTCTTGCTGTGGCTCAAGCTCTAGAGTCTCCTTGGTGTTAGCATGTTTTTCTTTCTCTTATAGGATTTTACATATTGCAAAAGAAAAGAAGGAGCTAATACACAGCAACATTCTAATTATTCCAAACCCATCTGGCTAAAATTTTGGGCTTTTGTTTTAACACATGATCTGCCTTTCCTAGGTATCACCAGTAACGGTTTTACCAAATATTTTGCTATAGCATAGTTAGGGTAACTATCTTTATATTTTGAAATATCTCTTGTCCATCTAATTGTAGCAGTGTCAACTTCTAGGTGTAAAATTTTATCGTAGTTAGGTATGAACGAGGCTGCTGTAACAAGAAGTACCCCCCTCCCCCATCCCCAAAGTGGCTAAAGCATGGTAGAACTACAAGGGTACTTCAGGAAGTTCATGGAAAAGTGGAATTAAAAGATAGTATGAATCTTTCCCTGAACTTTTTGAAAACTCTGTATATTTTTCTTTCTACAAACATGGTGTAATGTACAGAAGCTAGGCTCTTTCCATCTAGTTCTGCTACTCCTAGGATATAACCGAACCTGCTCTTGTTAAAGTTAGTTTACAGCATGTCCACCTTACAGGTTGTTGGGAGGGAGTGGTAGTGGTAAGGAGAGAACCTGAAGGCATTATGGATGCCTCTTCTCTCTAAGAGCTCTGCCCAGCAGTTGTACATACCACTTTGCTCACATCCCTTTGGCCAGAATTTAGTAATATGTCAGCATGAAGTTTTAATAGAGGCCAACAGTTGGAATCTTGTGGGGTCATACTCCTCCTCGATTAAAACAGCACCTGGCCTAACGGATAAAAGAGGCGCCCAGGGGAAGTTGAAGGAGAGGGATTTCTTTGTTCTGCAAATATTTTCATTGGTAGTTATGCTCTTCCAGGCTCGTGGACAGTGCATGATACTTAGGTCAAGCATAGAGAAATGAAACGTGTGCACGTTTGCCCTTTTCACTGATTGGTTCTAATGTGGAAATCCTCGCTTGCTAAACATATAAATGTAGCAGTTTGTACAATAATAAAGGAACTGCCTGACAGAACCCCCGCTGCGTGTGTTCATTCTCTATCTGGGTGGCAGCAGCACGCTCACCCATCTCTCGGAGTCCCTCCTAGCCCTGCCCTGGGGGAGGGAGGGTAACCTCTTTTGGTCTTAGCCCTGTGAGGGGAGAGAAATTCTATTGGGACGCCCGACAGAATCTTTCCAAATTAAGATGTTGTTTGCCTGATTCTCTTTATTGTATATTGTTTTCTATTTCTTTATTATTGTTCTTTCTATTTTCTTTGGGTTAAACTGCTGTTACTTTCTAATTTATTGATGGAAACTTAGGTAATTGATTTTCAGCTTTCTTTTCTAGTATATGCGTTTAAAGCTATAATTTTTTCTATAAGTACATTAGCTAAATCTACTAGTTTTGATATGTTGTATTTTTATAATTCCATTAAAAATTATTTAACATAGTTAGCTAGTACTAGGAAAGTCTTTAAATAGAAATATTTTTGTATTTAAACATCAATTTAATGGCATTCATTTTTCTCCCATAGGTTTTGCAGCCCTGTGACTTGTTTTATCAGGCTACTCAGATAGGTACAAATCCACAAGTGATTGATATATCAGTAAAATCCCTGACAGTAAAGGTAAGTTAAAATAGAGTTATTCAGGTCTTTAGTGTACTTTTTAAAACTAGAAATAAGCAATTATTTTATAGCAGGTTTTTTAATTGTTAAATAAGGAAAACGAATCTGTGTTTTTGAAATATATTTTTATGAGACATTATTTACAAAATGATATTATTTAATACACATTTTATACTGAATGTTATCTTATATTTTATTATTGGCCTATGACTGCTTCTGTAGTTAGCATCTAATATCACTATAGTATATATAGTTGAAATTATCCTTGATCAGTTTAATATCTATAAGATTCATGTAAATATTTTAACAAATCAAAATTATTTATGGTAATTAAAAAGTATTTTGTAGGCAATAAATTGTATCTAGTATTTTGTGGTAGTAATGTTAATTCTATATTAATTCCTTATTATCCTTCAGCAAGTATATTTAATATTTTTTGAAATAAGTATTTTCAAAAGTGGTATATATAGATTTTTTATCAATTTAATTTTTTTCCACTTAGGTTTCACCAGTTATCATAAATACCATGATTACCATAACTTCAGCACTTTATACAACTAAGGAAACCATTCCAAAAGAAACAGCTTCTTCTACAGCACATTTATGGGAAAAGAAAGACACAAAGAATTTAAAAATGTGGTTCCTTGAAGAATCAAATGAAACTGAAAAAGTAGCTCCCACAACTGAATTGGTACCCAAAGGAGAGATGATAAAAATGAACATTGATTCTATCTTTATAGTTCTTGAGGCCGGAATTGGTCATAGAACAGTGCCTATGCTTTTGGCAAAGTCATGTTTTTCAGGGGAAGGGAAAAACTGGACTTCCCTAATAAATCTCCACTGTCACCTTGAGCTAGAGGTAAGCATATGTAGTATTTTTCCAGTTTTTAAAACAAGTAATGTTACACGTGGAATATTGTGGGAACTCATTTAGTCATTTAAATTAAGCTTACTGTTAATATGATGTTGGCTCACAAACTTTTGGCAGAAAGTTTACAAATTTGTTCTCTAGAGTAGTTGCTCTTATGTGTATAGTACTTTTTCTTTCAGAGTATATATTCACATTAAGTTTATATTTCAATTGATTTTGTCAACTTAAAGGCAATACGTTAATAGATCATTCTTGATTACATTCAAAATTCTTATTTTTATAAGAATTAAAATTGAAT